TATATATATATCTCCATGTATATTGTGTATACATATATACTGTTGATTATAATTACAGGAGAAGGTGTGGTACCACTTGTGTGGTGTGGAAGAGTAAAGTCCAGGAAAACGACAAAGCATGTCTGCTTCTGAAACACTGACCGAGCGCTGTTACACCAGTTTATGGAGCATCGGACGTTGTATTGATGTCTGTGCAGGAGTCTATTACAAAGCCCTTAGGATTAGTAACTGCATTACCAAAAAATATATTAATAAAATAAAAGTCTTATTTCATTAGACTGAGCAATAGTTTCTGTAGAACCCTGCTGTATAATCCCATTTTATGCAATAAAAAGCTGTCCCGTATCTTCCCAGCCTTACATGTTGGAAAAAAAAAAATAATGAAACAAAAAAAAAATTCTAGAATACATTCAACAACGGCCTAGCTGCAGAGTTCAGCACATCCTGTTCCACAGGGGTGCCAGGGCGAGAGGAAAGTTGGGAGAGACCCCCAAGAATCCCTGAAAAAGATGGCTAAACTGCAAATTCTGATCAATATAAACACGTATACAAATATGAGGCAGCAGCCAACAAATGTTCAATGAGGCAACGTACAGAACTTTGATCTTCAGTGACAGTCAAAAGTGATTTGCTGGGAAATGTCAAAATTATTGCAGCCTAGGTACAGTGAGGGCTGGAGGGGGTCTGCAGTGGCCAAGGAAAAAAAATACAATTGTTTTAGCCTTAAACTTACGAGGCAATGAGACAAAGAGGAACTGGCCTTGAAAGTGGCTTGCTAAGGAAGCCACCGTTGCACAAAGCAGCTTCGTCTAGAGGTATGTACAGATCCCAAGCCATTCTGTGATACCCACATACATACTCATGCTACAGCATCCCTTTAACAATCATCGTAACTTTACATGAAAAATAAAACAAGAGACAAATTTCAAGTGGAATCTGTTTGTGGCCTAGTTAAAACAGCTTTGAACGTTTCTCCATAGTCTGGAGCTCCTCAGCTGACTGTCCAATCAAGTTCTAACGCCTAACATCCAAAAACTAAAACAACAACCAGAGAAATTTACACAGAAGGCACATAACTTATGATCTGAAAGATGGAAGAACCATGGAAGAACCAACCACAGAACATCCACAAAAATAATTAAGCCACATCCGTCTTAGCCTTATTCAAAAAGGGGTCAAACAAAACTTGAGCTCTGAAAAGGGCACAGATGGGAACAGGTGTGAGGAGTGTCAACATTTACAAGAGAATGAAGAGATGATACGAGCAAATAATGTGCATTGACTGAATGGCTGTCCGGAGCGTCCATGCAGTGCCAAGGCAACATGTGTTGAAGAAGACTGATCTTCAGTGCACAAGACCATGAGGAAACAAGAGCCCTCCTCCCTCTCCTCCATATATATAGTGCTTTACAAGTAATTTTACATGGGATGGCCTCTGTGGCAAATCCTTGCATTACACCAATCTCTAAGAAAATATTTTGATATAACAAAATATACGGAATAAACTTTGTGACTTGTCAGTTGCTAGAATGCTAGAGAAGGATTTCATGCATCTTTCCTCCAAGTTTAGAAAACACAAAAAGGGAATTTTAAGGGAAGATGGGCAGTTCTTGCATGTGATTTTAAGGCTGGCACTAAAAAAAAGGAGAGAGTCATATCAAACCGATCTGCACTTAGAAAAGCACACTAAACCTACACACCTATTTGAAATGTCCATGCTTGACCTGGGTTGGCAATGAGAGCCTCTGGTGGACCGCACTCTGTGGCAACAGTAACTGCTTCAGTCTTTGGAATAGAACGAAATATTTGGGCTACAAAAAATAAGATCAACTAAAAAATCTTGAGATAGTGCTATAAAAATGTTTGGACAAAGCATTAGTGTTCTAAATCTATTATTTCCTACAAAAATGTTGATAAAATAAATACAATGTATTATTAAAAATATAAATACCATTGTTAAGTGCGATTCACCAATGAGTGCTTTTAGTCATTTGTATAGAAAAATATACATATTATTTACATTATTCAACGAATTATATTTCTGTCAGTGACATGAGACAACAAAAATAGTCAAATTTTAAATTGCCTAAAAAAAATCGTATCATTTTATACAAAACTACGGGCCTAGGGAGTAAAAAAAAAAAAATCCCTAATGGTGAGATACAAGAAATAGACTGGTAATAGCATTTGCACTCACTAAAATCAATTAAATCCTACAATGTTTCGTAACAACATGCAAATTATACTTTTTTTGAAAATACAATGCAATTAAGCTACCAAATTGCTCTGGTCCATTGGCTGTCAGTCCACCAGGATCTCAACCTGCCAGCCACACATCTCACAAGCCCATCATGGCCTACTCTTCGTAACACATTTCTTTCTACTACTGACAAGAAAAACATTTACCATTTTTCTTCAGACAACCTATTCCTGGGACCACTGCTCCCCCTAGTGTTTCCCCTCATCATCTCCCCTATGAGATATTTACAGTGTATTCCATACAGAGAATCAGGCCAAGCTTGGCAAGAGTGACCATTGATGCTCTGAAGGCTTCGATGTACATTCAAAAAGGGAGAGATGTCTAAACAGGTCAGGCTAAAAAAAAAGGATTATGTATCGTCAATCTAAAAACAATAAATCTTTCCCTTCCGAAATTGCACTTTGGTGTAGAATGGAACGATGTGGCAATTATTCAGTAATTTGTCACACTCGGTAAATAAGAGCAGGCCAGACTCGACTTGTTACAAATGTAAAACTTTTCACAATATCCTTCTAAAAAAAAAAAATAAATAATAATAAAAAAAAAGGTAAAAAAAAAAAAGATATACAAAATTTAAGACCGAGGGGGCACTAATATCTTGAATTGGGCATTAATAAAGGGGACACAAGGGCAATCTTCTCCATTACTCAATTGTCTTTTCTAAAAGTCAAACAACTTAAGAGGCACAATACCATTAACCTTCTGATAACCTGAGCCTGCTTCAGTTAAAAAAAAAACCTTTTAAAAGGTCTCTTCCCTGGCATGTATACACTCTTGATAGCATTCACAGACAATATTAGCTTGCGAGTTTGCTTTCAATTGAGGAACTTGCGACACTTCTTCGCCCCGCAGTTGCAAGGCAGCTTATTGCCTGGTTCTTCGATGGGGAACTTGTAATCGTACGTGAGCTCCTCGCCTTTAAAGATTTTGCGTGAGGCAAAAATGACAATGTGCTTCTGACCGTCAACACTGACCACGCGGGAGTAGCAGTTGGGCTCGCAAGAGTGGTTAATGAATCGGGCTGCGTTGCCGTGCATGGTGGCATCCACCACCTTGTAGTCATCGATACGAAACATGTAGCAGCCAATGCCCTGAGTAAAAGCAAAAAAAGACAAATCAATGAGGAACACCGGTGTTATTGTTTTAAATTCATTGCACTGATAGACTAAGTATTAGATTTCTACCTTGCTGTCATAGTATTTCTCCCGCTTGTCAGTGAGGACAGAGCGAATAACATTGCCAGAATACTCAATCACCATCTCTCCAGCGTCAATGTTTTTCCTGCAGAACAGACCTCTGCCGTGTATGGCTGATCTGCAGGCAATACATAGGATGCAAAAGATGGAATGCAAAAAAAACGCATGCTTTTCATTCCTCAATCCACCCACACATTTTTGATTTGAATAGAAGGCATTTATACCTGTAGACACCCACAGCCTCCATGGACACTTTCTTTAGGTGCCTGAACCTCATAGGCAGTGGTAAGTCCATGCTGGTGGCCCGTCTGTGAAAACACCAGGTGTTATTATGTGTTCAATTTATAAATGAAAAGAGGTTAGTACAGGGTGAGTAAAGCCCGGGACAAACCAAGACGATGGTTGGCCATAGGGCAATGTCAGGTGGTTTTTGAGCATCGTTTGGCTTTTCAGTTGTTCTTCACCGTTGGCTGTAGTTGGACACTGTCAGCTGTTTTTCGGCCAAATCTGTATGCCGATTTAGTGAGAACTGCGATTGGATATTCAGCTTAGCGAATAAGCGCACAAGAAAAAAAATGGAACTGACGAAAGCAAACCAATGACAAAGAGCAAAGAGGGAATGCAGACACACTTGATGTCATTCTGTTTCTTTATCCACAAGACGACGACCCAAGGACTGACAATGCCAGTGCCATTTGCAACTTAAACATGATTGAACAAAGTTACACAAATCTGTCAGTAATGAGCACGGCTGGTGTAAACAATGGTAAAAGCAAGTGCTGCTTGCTTTGTATATCCATAGTTCTAGCTCTTCCGGTTTCCTTGTTTGAATGCCGAATAAAGACTGCTGCCACCTGGTGGTATGGAAAAGTTAAGTTCTGTCAAGCAAGCGCAGATCGTACGCATTAGTTAGCCGTCGCCTGTAGTCTTTCTGGTGTGACAATGAGAGGCAATGCAAGGTGACGCCACAGTCGGCTTTGCTCAGTGCTAGTTTTTTGGCGTAGGTTTGGTGTGTCCCTACCCTAAGGTTACTCACCGAGCAGACTTCTGCAACATCTCCTCCTCATCTTCCTCCTGGGGGTTATATACAGGAGGCTGACGGTGTTTGGATGCCAGGAAATTAAACATGTCCAAAACTGATCGCCTAAAAATTAATTCAAAGTCTGTTAAGAGTGCTTAAATAGTTCACAATCACAACATTGAATTCTCCATTATAGAAAGGTTTAAGATTTTCAGGTATTGACAAAATGAACACCCTGGCCATGACACACACCTGTGGTACACCTCAGCACGGGCAGATCCGTGAGGGTTGACAGGAGGATCTTCCGGCTCCTCAGGTTTGTGAAAGCGGAACCTGTAGTTTCGGCAATGCCTGGCTCCATATAGCTGCTCCAGTAGAAACACTACAGCATCATGAACCACACCCAGCATCTTCAACCCATTTACTCCTGAAAGACGATGTGAAATACAAGATGCCCTTGCCAAATTAACATGACTAGTAAAAACAAATGTGTTAAGATTAAAATAAACACTGTAATATGTTCTTACCATCAAATGAAAGTGCCTTGAGTCTAGCATTGGACCGGGCTTCTTGCACTTTATCTGTCAGGGACTTCCAGGCCTCTGAAACGTAACAGGAAACAGGAAATTCATTTCAGAGAAGACTGACTGTAATTATCAAAGAAAAGAACATCATACTCCATACTGGGTCTATAACTCTCCATTACACTTTATTATCTAGATCTCACTTACCCTCAATACTTTCACATCGAATCTGAAATCCATCATCACTGCAGATTTCAAATATGAGCCCTTTCTTGGGCTTGTAGTCCAGAAAGGAGTCTCTCCCACTGTCCCTCTGATCAGGTGTTTCCACTGAAAATGCATTAGATCCTTTCCCATCACCCTTACTAGGCAGTCCTACAAAAAAAAACATCTATTAGCACTGCGACATTCAACAGAGAGATGGACAGCCAGACCTAACATTTTACCCACCTGCAGTCTTTGGCTTCTCATCATGAGTATCCATGGTTGTACGTTTAAAAGAAGAAGAATCAGCTGTCTTAGTGGCAGAGTCACTGTGAAGGAAAAAATTTATTTTAATAGGTCAGATATAATGAAGTACACTGAAAAGTTAAGATTGATCTTTATAATCGTTTACCTTGTTTTTGAACCCGTTTCATTTGACTGCCCTGTATCCATTGGCTCAGGTGATGAAAGTTCCCGGTCCCTACTATAAACAATTTTTAGCATGTTTAAATTTTTTTTTTTTTTTTTTACAACAATAAGCAATATGCATGATAAATGTCAGGCTCTTACCCTGGGAAATATGATAATTGGATAGCAGATGTGTCAACAGTTGGTGTATCTGACTGAAGTCCTTTGCGTTTCTTTCCACTCTTATCCGGGATTGGTCGAGGTCTTTTGGCCTTTTGCTTTCCCTTCCCAACAGCTGTGGATGCAGCTCCAGCATGTAACTTTGAGGATTGCTGCTTATGCGGGGGTCGAGAAATGGGAGAGGTTCGTGAGCTCTGAGTGAGGATGCCAACAACATGACTTCTGTTCAGGTCTTGAGTAATGGGATTAGGGGCAAGAGTTACTTGACCAGTTGAATTGCCATTTGGGTCAAGGTTTGTATCTGCCAGGACTCGACTGACTGGGTGTTGGAGATGAACGCTGCCCTCTTTCTCCACCTGCTGGTTGACAGACATGCTTATGCTTTGTTTTGGGGGTAACACACAGATGCTACTGGCAATGGACGTCTGGGCAGGATTAGTAAGATGAGATATCATAGGGGTTCCTGAATGAAGAACCATCTGTTGCTCTGGAAGGCATAGGTTGTGAGGGTTGGCTTTGAAAAGAAGGCTACTTATAGATCCTGTGATCTCAGTTGAACTTATGAGGCCTGGGGCGCTCAAAGATACAGAGTTTGCTCCCAAAAAGTTTCCTGCTGCAGTGGGAGGCACCGACACCACATTCAAAACAGACGGACTTGGGTTAAGCCCTGACATAGTGCATGGGAGCAGGCGAGTCGATGAATCATGTCCCAACATGCCAGGCTGAGTTGTGGTTGAAATGGGCATGGGCTGTGGAAGGAGAGTAGGCTCCAAGTACATCACCCCTTGCTTCTGCCTTTTTATAATGTTAGGAAACTTTCGATGAGGTGTTGCAGTTATAGTCCCAAGTTCCATCAAGCCTGTCTGAGCAGGGATTCCTGCAGCAATCTGTGAAGATGACAAGTTTATGAGGGTCATATTGGGCCCAACATCGGAAGGAGCAAGTGTAGGTTGGGTCTTTGGACGAGCCTGTTTTTTGCTCTTATTGCTCTGAAGACGAGAAATTAGGCGTTTCTTGCCATGTCCAGAGGGGAGCATAGTTGGTGCTGGGGTGATGGATGAAGCACTAGATACCATAGCAACACCAGAGGCATGATCATGCCTATTTCCTGCCTCTGTCACACCAATATGGGGATCGTGGGAGGTGACTCCTATGAGGAGGCCTGATGTGGTGCTAGGAATGACTGGCTGGAAACCTGTCTGAGTAGTGCCTGTGAACGCATGGATTTGTGGGTGATGAGATACAGGCACTAAACCTTTGCCGCCAGCAGGAAAAATTGACTGAGAGGTGGAGATGCTACCACTGAGGCCTGTCAAGACAGGGGCACTAGTGTTCATGACACCTGTCGCACTAACAGATGGTGCAATCTGGATCTTTTGAGTTAAACCATTGGGAAGGGTTTGCAAAACATAGAGTGGCTGCAGATGCTGGTTTAGCACTATCAGTTTCTCTGGGCCAGGCTTCAATTGAGAGGCAGTAGCTTGAACAGCAGAGCTTGCAATCGGAGTGGGACCTGAGCTAACAGTGGCAGCAGGGATTAACTTCTTACTCTGGAGAGGCAAGGTGGGTGAGCTGGGAAGACCTGGCGTGCTACTATTTCTCGTCAGATCTTGGCTCCCTGTCTCTCCCACAGGTGCAACTCCAGGACTTGTGATATGGTCACCATCAATGCGTGCAGAAATGAAGTGTTCTGGAGTCATTTGACCTTCTGGAATCTGGGAATCGGCACATCTGTTCTGTGGGCTCTTGCTGGATACAGTGGACCCTGTTCTTGTTTTTTTCCTGCTTTTCTCGACTCCTGATTCCTCTGTGGCCAGAGCCAAAATGGTGCGGTCAGAGGTCTCAGAGATCATCGAGCCATGATTTTGATTATTTACAGTGGGACTTCGAGTTGTCAGCACAGAGAGGTCAGAGGGCAGCTCAAGGGGAAGACCATATGACTCGTCAACAGCAATGGAGGTGTTCACCCCACTCTCACCAGGTTCAGCACTGGCCAGTGGCTGGGTGAAGTCTTCAAAAAGCATGTCCTTTCTTTGGTTAACATTCACCCCGTAACTCTCATCTAAAGAGAACGGTTCGGCAGAAGGAGCTTCTGTCTGTTGTCCCAAAGCCTGCATTGAAGGGGTATTGAGTACAAACTCCATAATATCAGAGGGTAGGATGTTACCACAGTCATCACTGTTGTTGTTATCAGAGTCAGACTTGAGGAGATCTGTGGTGAGTGACAACGGAGTTTCAAGGGGGTCTTGTGCTTTCACACTCCCTAATGGATCCTTTTGATTTTTACGACTTTCACGACTGTTCCCACTTGGTGTATTTTCTGTCTCCTTCCCTGAGTCAATGCTTATTTTATCTGTCCTGCTTTCTCTACCTTTTCTTTTTGTTGAACTTTTGTTTGTTGATGAAGTAGTAGCAGTGGTTGTGCTGCTGGTGCTTATACTAACATCGCTCTCAGAACCGTCATCCACGCCATCCAGCTGCCCAATTTGTTGCAGCTCCAAATTCTTGGTTGCTGTTGACACCTCATCACTGTCATCATCTTGCTCCTTCGCCTGATCCCTCAAGAACCTGTGGATCTGCGTCCCTCTTCCCAAACACTGATCAATACCCGCAATAGGTGGAAGACCAGAGTTGGGGTTTATTATAGTGCGTGTGAAGTTGTAATAATATGCATCCTTATTTGAACCAATTCCTCCTTCTTCGTCCTCTCCACTGTCTGCTGAAGATGATGTGCTCATATCATCTGCCCCATCAACTTGTCCTTCAGCGGAACGCTTGCTGCTCCCAGTGCGCTTTTTCATGGAGATTTCACCAGTTCTGTAGAAGGGTATGTCTTCCTCCCCATACGATCGCACACCATAGAAAGGGGTTAGCCCAAAGAACATGTTTGATCGAGCACGGGCACTCCGCCTTGGGTATCTGCGCTTTGCTGAACCTGCCGAACCATCACTATCCTCCTCATGGCGCTTATCGACGCTGCCTTCATCCTCTAAATTATGGTCCTCCCCATCATCTGCACATTGGTGGTCCATGAGTTGCTCCTCAGAATCATCTGGGTGAATGTGGCTGTCTGATTCTGAGCTTTCAGAACTTGCAGATGGGGAGAAAACCATCACTCGAGAGGACCTTCTTTGGGGGCCCTGGTTGCTAGGGGTTACAGAAGTGTATGTGTTTGTGTTAGGGGACATGCTGACAGCTTCGGTTCCATTAGGATCCATTTTTTGAGACATTAGAGGCAGCCTCTCAGTGGGTTTCTTCACCACAGGAGTAACTTCCTTACTTGATTTAGGGTGTACCTGTGGTGGTCTAGTACCTCTTTCAGACCCTGCTTTCGGCTGAATAGCATCCATGGCTGAACTATGCTTTTTCTCAAAGCTAAATCTCTCTTTGGACTTGAATGGCTTCTCCATTTCTTTCTGATCAAATGTATTAACTTCCACCTTGCAAGACCCCGTGTTGCTGCTCAATGCTGTGGCTTTATTGCTAGTGTTGTGAGGAGGTGGACCCTGACCTTGTGTTTTGACATTACTGCTTTTAGAGTTGCTGTTAAGAACTGGGTTTTGAGCAGACTCTTTTCTTTCTTTTGAAACATCCCTGCTCACATTCATTTTGACTTTGGAGTGTTTGTCTTTGGTGCTAGAGGTTCCATGACTAGCATTGACAGCAGCACTTGTCTGGAAGCCACGCTTTAGGTCCTCCTCTCCCACCTTGGCACCAGATGACCAGAGAGGCTTCATTGCCGCTGCTGGACCAGACGCATAGCAGTGAGACTTCCTACTCCCACTTTTGCTGTAAACCGGTTGTGGAGACACAGTCTTTCCTATGTCTTTTGATGCGGCCACTGATGCCACATTTCCTTCCTTGACTGTATTAGCCTTGTCCTTAGGAAGTGTGGCAAGTGGATGACTGGACATAAAAGTGACTCCGGCTGGTAGGTCAGTATCTTTTGTGGCTTGTTTCCCTTTCTCGGTTTTCAAACTGCCACTTCCTCTCTGATGTCCGGTCAATACTGCAGTTCCGAGAGGTGGTGCTACCTGGCTTATGCTAATTGGTTGCGATGACTTCAAACTCTCACCATCCGACTGCTTTTTGGTTGCTTCTCTACTACCTTCTATTCTTTCAGTGAAACCAAAACTGAGTCGACGCTGTGCCCCAATGTTCACTGAAATTGCCTCTCGATTGTGAGATTTCTCTCCAGATGGTGCTATTCCTTTGTCTGTGTCCCTGGTTAAAGGTTCCTTAGAGGTTGAGGACAGGGACGGGGCAGATGAATTACCTGTCTGAATGGATACTGTGCCTCCCTGTTGAGAAGAGGAAACCTCTTGCCTAGATTGTTGAGCAGAGATGGAGGAAGTGCTGTGTCGACGAGATCCAATGCTTCGCAGAGTGGAGCTCAGCAGAGGGTCCCCCACAGTCACAATTTCATGGGCTGAACTACTAAAACCATCTAATGGGGGAAAACACATTGAATAACATTCACAAAAGCCTTCAAAAAAGGAGTTATAAAATATAAGCAATATAAAATATAAGCATTTAAATGTATATAACTCCTACCTGGGGAGGGAAGTGGTCTGGTTGAGGGAGAACGATGACATGGTGGGTAACTGGGGTGTCTGTTCCTAAAATAAACTCTTGGTTTTGGTGTGAAAGGCACATTTGATGGTTTTATGGAATCTGTGGGTCCAGGCAAAGCAGTGTCCACTTCAGCTGAAAAGTTTAATAATGATTAGTTTTTAAAATTCCAACAAAATGTTGGCATGACAATAACAAATATAAATCTGCTTACCTGAAAGAGGTGGAGGACTATGAGCAATTGTGTGGTTCTCTTCTTGAGCTGCTGTGTTATTGATAGTTTCAGTCATAGAGGGGCGGCACACTAAAATTCTACATTTATAGACGCATCGTTTGCGGGCATCTAGAGTGCTCCAGTAGACCCTTGAGCATCTGTGTAAATACATCAGGTGGTTACTCCATTTTATGTCTTATGTTTATTTAAATACAATACTATAATTTCAAAGACTTACTGGTAGCCCACAGGAAACAACTTCCTCTCACAATCGGACAGTTCAGTTAGCATACCAAGACAGTCGATAGTCATAGACCCTGTACCAAAAAATGTGCTATTTAATTTTGATGTATTGTACTTTATTACTCATCAACGATAAGCACCCTGCAAAGACATACAGACCTATCATCATGTGGATGTTATCTGGTTCAAGCCCATTAACAAACTTTCTTCTCAGACTGATTCCCTCAAAGTCCACAAGGACCCTCCGAGTAACTTCAAAGCCTGACTCTGGCACCACCTTTAAAAAAAAAAGGTTAGTTATTTGCAATAAATCCAACACTTTACAACAAATATGTAATCATTAGTGCATTACTTGCTTGCATGTATCATTCCATACCTCGCCCTTTATGAGATCTCTGTGATGCTGACAGTAAACTTTCTTGTCCTCTAAAAAGGCACACTGCTGCTGACGTGCACACATGAAATGGTAGTTGTTGGTACAGGACGTCAGACAACAACTCACCGTGGCTCCGGGTTTGTGACAATTATCACATTGCTGAGAAAACAAAGCATAATGCAATCTATTTTTGGATGCAGAAAGATTTGTTGCATATAGTCTTTTTTTAATAGCCAATTGTTTGGTAACAAAAATAATTACACAAATACATATTACGGCATTGTAATTTAATGAACACATGGCTTAGATTATGCACCAGCTTTTTGCCTCTCCTGACTGCCATATGGACATTTTTGAGTGCACCATCAACATCCTCGAACACCTCGGATGACCACAGTGCACAGTTCACATGGGTCCACTCATTCTGGCCAACATAAAGCAGTCTCCCACAATCCTAGAAAACAAATTACCATACAATATCTGACAAAATGATCATGACTGAAATACAGTATAAATTGACATCTGTACATGCTAATGCATTCTTTTTGGTGGATGATTACTCACATTTGTGTTTTCATCTCCATAATTCAGACAAAGCGCACATTGTCTGTTGTCACCTACACCAGGAGGAGGGGGAATATCAGGGCTTTCTTCAAGGCTGTGGTCTGAACACAAAATAAATACTCATGTGTAACTTATCAACACACTTTAACTCTCTCTTCTATATATTTTTCTCCATTCAGAAAATGTAATTATTTAACTCTAACACGCAATGTACCATCTCAGTAGTTCCTATACACGTTTGTGTTTATAGTGCTTAAAAGCGACTTTCTCACCATGGATAAGCATGGGTGGAGGAGGAGGTGGTGTGAGGGCAATCGGGGAGTCAGGTTTCCCAGGTGCTTTAGGATGGGGAGCCGGGATGATCTTTTTCATTAGCACAGGCTGCTCAGCCCTGGCTATCTCCTCCCTCTCCTGCCACTGGGCATAGTTGTGATCCAAAGAAGGGGGCAACACAGCATTGGGAAGAAGTCCACTGCTGCAAAGATACAACAATGCCTTGTTAGCCATGTCTTTGTTACATAACATTAGTGTTTGATTAAAGCATTTATAAGAACAGCATTGACTTGATCTTTGAAATCTTTAGTAACATTATAAAATGTATATACCAACTTTTTATAAGTTTGATACATCCTTCCTGAATTACCAATTAAATTCTTTTGAAAATAATAATTTTAAAAAATCTTACTGAGCTCCAAACTTTGGAACCGTAGTGTAGGCTCATTCAGAAATAAGGTGCCAATGACAAAGTTTATAATCTGATAGCCATAACTCCAAAGGGAAATAACATAAATATTTGTGTTTTCTCTTTAAAGAGACAGTATTGAATGTCAGGTATGCATGCACACAAACAAAAAAAAAAAAAAAACTTGCTTCACTGCTGTTAATAATTCATGGCAACAAATGAAGTATACAAACAAGCAAACCAAATGCCAACCACAAGACTTGTCAAAGCACCCATGTGAAATGTGACACTGCTTGTCGACCTCAAACAATGGAACTAGACCATACAGGCTGCATTCCCTATGGAAAGGTGATATTTCTGCTCTAGAGGAGAGCAAAGAATAGACAGACACTCAGTGGTGAGTTTGTTCTCGATGCTCATAAACTAGCTTAACTGGTCCCTCTATTCACTATCAAACTAAACAAATAGTTTGTTCCTTAATTTATTTCTGAAAATTGTTTCTGACAAAATAATTTAAATAAAATGATCAGTCAAAATTAAAACGGCAAGCAAATTGAAACAAAGCATTAAATAGACATGGGAAAGACTCACTTTGGAGAGACTTTGCGCGTCTCCCAGAATTTGGACTCCTTCACCCTGTACCATGGAAAAGTCCGCTCCATTTGCTTTAACAAATAACAGTGACAGTGCAATTAGAAATAATGATGTAGGATTGCAAGATATTCTATTGTCAGAACTGTGTCCACACCAGCTTTTTCTCACCCGAATAAAAAAGGACTTGAGCATGCTGTTGGCCTTCCTGCTCTCTAGCTGACCTCCATCTGAATTGATGGCTGTCTGGATGATTTTCACAATGTCATCACTGAACTCCAGCTAAATAAGAGAAGCAGAAAATGACACCTGGCTCTCACATGTATGTGACCGGCATCTGAACCCTGCTGCAATAATGCGACAGGTAATCTTTCAAAGAAGAATAGAAACATAAAAGCTACCTTTTTTACTTTAAACTAATTCAAAAAGGAGATACTCAAACTCTTACCACAGATTTATAGCATCCAGGAGCCATTTTCTTCTCCACAGACTCCAAATCGAGTGGTGAATCATTAGGTGGAGAGACCTCCGTCAGCAAAGGGGGGTCAGGGCCCTCTGGGGAACGGCGTGAGGGAAGGCTTTCTTCTGTCTCTGGGTTCAGCTCAGGTGGCTTCATAACCACCTGAGACAAAGAAAATCGATCAGTAGGTTAAGTAGTGAAAATAAAGCTGGTGGGAACTTCTAGGACTCCAGATGGCAACTCACCTGTCTGTAGCGAAGCAGGTGAGTAGACGTGCGAGAGTTGAGAAGGGCAGTGAGAACTTGCCGCATGGACTTCTGAATTTCTTTCTCCAAGACAGTGCGCCACTCAGTAGGATGGGGCTCAGTGCAGTTTGCGCAGGTGTAGGCCACGGTCTCAGGCAGGTTAGACAAGAGCTCATACATATCATCTAAATATAAAAATGGAAAGATCATGTTTGGAATGTAGTATTACAGAAATATCCACACTGCAGAATGCTTTCTTCTCTGTTTAGCAAGCATGTCCATGTCCACCTATCAGATCTTATCTTAAAGGGATAGTTCACCCAAAAATGAAAATTTGATGTTTATCTGCTTACCCCCAGGGCATCCAAGATGTAGGTGACTTTGTTTCTTCAGTAGAACACATTTGATGATTTTTAAGTCCAACCGTTGGAGTCCATCAGTCTTATAATGGATGGCAATGGTAACAAAGTCTATGAGAGTAAAAAAAACATGCACAGACAAATCCAAATTAAACCCTGCGGCTCGTGACGACACATTGATGTCCCAAAACATGAAACGATCGGTTTGTGCCAGAAACCGAACAGTATTTATATAATTTTTTACCTCTAATACACCACTATGTCCAACTGCTTTGGGCGCGCGCACGGCTTCCGGTGCGCAAGATGTGTACGCGCTCTGGCATAGTTTACGTTAATGGGTGTGTTGTCGCGGGAACGCGGGGGGCGGCGGCTTCTATCAGCGGCTTTGTTCTTCTCTCTGCTCACGGCGCTTGAAGGGACTAGACGGCCCAGCATCCTTGCCCGACGGCCGTGTAACGGGTGCGGTTCTCGTCCGGACTGCGGGTCCGGCAGCTCACGACTCTGGCGGCACGGGAGTCCCTCTACGCACCCCTCCTGGACCCACGAGGACACCAGCGTGCATGCACAGGGAAGAGACCGGTCTCCCGAGGAGAGGCGCGCTCTGCATTTACACAGCGGCGGTGATGAGGCTCCATTCGGTTCAGGTGTGCCCCATCACATGCCTCCTCTCTCACGCACCCACTCATGTCGGGAGCCTGGCGAAGGGCGGCGATTAAGGGACGGGGTGATGCTGATAATTAGGGGGAGGCAGCCGACTCGTCACAGTGTGTTGATATCCAGCCAAAGAGCAATCGACCATAACTTCAGGCGAGCAGGCTCAGAAGTCAGTTTGAACAATCAGGATAAGCGCAAGTAAGTACCATTTTGATTAGCCGTCGTACCTACAATGACTGTGCACTGTGTAAACAATGAGTGACGTATACGCGTGAGCGATCACTTCCGGCGCTTGCGTAAACTCGTAAACTACGCCAGAGCGCGTACACATCTCACGCACCGGAAGCCGTGCGCATGCTCAAAGCAGTTGGACATAGTGGTGTATTAGAGGTAAAAAAATGTATCGTCATCAATGTATCGTCACGAGCCGCAGGGTTTAATTTGGATTTGTCTGTGCATGTTTTTTTACACTCATAGACTTTGTTAACATTGCCATCCATTATATGACTGATAGACTGCAACGGTTGGACTTAAAAATCATCAGATGTGTTCTACTGAAGAAACAAAGTCACCTACATCTTGGATGCCCTGGGGGTAAGCAGATAAACATCAAATTTTCATTTTTGGGTGAACTATCCCTTTAAGATTTGCACTACCATACAAAAAGTTAAATGATTTTAAAGTCTCAACAAGGTTGCATTTATTTGATCAAAACGACAGTAAAAACAGTAATCTTATAAGGGCTTATTACACTTTCAAATAACCTTTCTATTTGAATATATTTTAAAAACTTTATTTCTGTGATGGCAAAGCCGAATTTTCAGCATCCATTACTCCAATCTTTAGTGTCACATGATCCTTCAGAAATCATGCTAATATGCTGCTTTGAAGAAACACTTATTATTATCAATGTTGAAAACACTTAACTGCTTAACACTTTTGTGGAAACCATGAAACATTTTTTCCAGGATTCTGTGAATTCCCCCCCTGCTTACAGACCCCAAATTTTAGAACAGTAGTGTACATTTAAACAAATTTTCTGTAATTAAAATCAACCAAATATTAGTTGATTTTGTTAGTTTAATCTCATGGTGCCATGTAATATCACGTGAAAGATAAGAGATATGGAGAAAAACTGATAACTCACCTGTTAAATTTTCACATTTTGCATGGACCCAGCAATCACACTTCCTGCACTTCATCATTTTGCTATCACAGTCATCGTCATCATAGCACTTATTACAGAGCAGGCAGACGTTGCCTGGGAAGGAAAATAAATAAATAAATTACACAGTTTAGTAATAGTTTAAAGGCATAGAATAAACATCCAGAATGAATAGCACTGACCTTTAGCTAAGAGTTTGGCACAGTCATGACACAAAGAGAAATCATGTGACCACTGAGCATCCCAGGCCTTCCCTGGTTTGGTGGCTCCACAGCGCTTACAGCGCACACACTTGGTACAAATCTGTGGCAGAAGGAAAAATAATTATGGGAGAATGCAGCAAAAACACCACAGATGTTACAGACATTAAGATTGAGAGTGTGTAAGTACCCAGACTCTTTTCTTCTTGGTGGGTCTGGTAGGGTGGTTGGGTCCCAGGCACTCAGGGTGATAGCTATTTCGGCACTTGTCACACTCCTTTAGCTGCTAGAGGATTAAAAAAATAATTTTAAAAATTTTGATTCCATCTGGATATTGAGCGTTTGTCTTTTATGAAGGTTTCGGAGGCTTTTAGAGAGAAATAAGCCCAAACTTGGAAGTTGCTTAGTCGGTCATCAAGCGTACCAAAAGGAAATGATAATTCCAGAGAGCTGACAAGCATTTGCCTTTCATAAGGAGGTATTTTTCACTAGCACATACCAAATGAGGACATTCATCATTTGTGATCCAAGCTGACTCATGCTTTGAATATTAAACTTTTCCATTTATCTTTAACCATTACATCAGCGGATTTTGTATTCTATAGTATTAAGCCTCAAATGTCAACTAAACATCAGATTGGTTTCTTCTTTAAATTATTAAAAAGTAAAAATATGAATTGAATTATAATGTTAAACTAAAATTAAAATAATGGGAAAAACCCTTAAGATAACATGTAGAAAGAAAAAAACGCATCTTAAGCTTGCAGAATAACATAAGTGGACTTTCAACAATTAATTGCCGCTTTGAACGATTACGTAATTGTGGCATCCATAATTGTAATCGCGATTAGAAATTTTATTAATTGTGCAGCCCTAGTATGTGCATCCCCTGGGAACTGAACCTGTAACCTTGGCATACTAAAATTAAAATAATGGGAAAAACCCTTAAGATAACATGTAGAAAGAAAAAAACGCATCTTAAGCTTGCAGAATAACATAAGTGGACTTTCAACAATTAATTGCCGCTTTGAACGATTACGTAATTGTGGCATCCATAATTGTAATCGCGATTAGAAATTTTATTAATTGTGCAGCCCTAGTATGTGCATCCCCTGGGAACTGAACCTGTAACCTTGGCATCGCTTGTGCTAAGATTCACAGGAATATCAACACCATAAAGAATGTTATCACTATCCAGAGGGGGGAGAAGCAAGAGACAAAGCTTTTTTTTTATAAAAAAAGGGTATAAAATAATACAAAAGTGCCTGGAATATCTGCTTACCTTTTCTTTTGGTTTAGGCTTGAGTGGTTGAACACATCGAGTGGACTGTTTCTTTAGCTTTGCTTCGGATACTAAAAGATGACATGACCATAAAACAAAAACATTAAGGCTATGTTAACAAAGGCCTTCTGTAAATCGATACGTTTTTGTAATAAAAATATCCATATTCAAAACATAATAATCAATTTAATCTAGCTTGCGCTCACTGTTGTACAGGGAAGCAGTTCTGGGCGGATGACGTATGGAGGTCGGCTTTGCGCACGTGCCGCTCAGAAGTGACGCACACGGAAGCGCAGGGGAGAGATCAAAACAAAACAACGGTCACTAATTAGAAGTACAAAACGAGGATATGTAAAGAAGAATGTCGGAGGATTTCGATATAAGCCAAGAGGAGACTGGTTTTCTTTTGCTAAAGTAAGGCAACTTTGCTTCCTTTGCTCCTGTTAACAAACATTGGTTTTCACGAGACTCACTGGGCATGCGCAGCACTGACCTCATACGTCATCCGCCCGGAACTGCTTCCAGTGTACAACAGTGAGCGCAAGCTACATTAAAGTGATTATTACGTTTTTAATATGGATATTTTTCTTACAAAAACGTATCGATTTGCTACAGAAGGCCTTTGTTCAACCCCCGGAGCCGTGTGAGGCACTTTTTTTTTTTAATGGATGGGCGCATTTTATTTAACTGCTTTTGGACGAATGCATGCAACACCCACTGAGTGGCATTAAACAGCTTGAAAGATCAAAGACCATTTTAAATATAACTCCAACTGGATTCGTCTGAAAGAAAAAAAGTCATATACACCTAGGATGATTGAGGGTGAGTAATTTATGGGCTAATTTTCATTTTTGGGTGAACTAACCCTTTAAGTCAGGAGTGTCCAATCTTAGGCTGGAAGGTGGCTGTCCAGGAGCAGGATTGGACACCCCTGTGTTATGTTACCAACAGTAAATCATACATATAGTTTATCTCCTCATCCCTTTACCTGTGTCTGTGGCAGAACTGTGTTGACTTTGTTGCTGTGATTTCTTCTTGGGCTCAGTGGGCTGGGGCTTTGCAAGACCTTCCTTTTTTGCTGGCACTTGGCTGTGCTGCTGCAAGTACTGCTGGGACTGTGCTGGTGGGGAAGATGGGGCAATGTGTACAAAGGTGGGTGAAGAACTGGGCTGCTGCTTCCACTCCTTTCTATAGGCTGAGTTCAAAGGGGTTTGAGAATGCTTGGGGTCATCAGAAGGACTAGAGTGCCGAGGGTCCTTTGGGGAGGAAGCTGGTGAGGATGGTGCTGAAGGTTGTGCCTGCTTTTGTTTGTCCTCTCCCTGCATAGGCGGTGGAGTTTCACTTTTCTTATGGGGAGGGTCATCTTTTGGAGGAGGGGCTGGCTTGGGGCTTGCTTCAGAACACTGGGATTTGTGATGTGAATCCTTTTTTTCAGACAGTTTATTCCTCCTCCTGTCCTTTTTACCTGTTGTTGATGCAAACAGACAATTAATTGAAACATAAGAGCATCTCTGACTTATAAAAGGAGTATTCTCAGAAAACTGACCTTTTGCCTGCTTTTGAAGAAACTTTGATGGCATCCACTGCAAGTTCTGACACTTCCGTACTCTGTGATGACACAAGCACAAAGATTTAAGGGGCAATTACACTATTAAGGTGCAACGGTTTTGAAACCCACAATAAAAAGATTTCAAACTTACTTGCAACACTGCTTTTTAATATTGCGTCCCCCAAATTTGGGCTTATCCAAGCAGTTAGTGCAGACCCCACAGTCATTTGGGACTTGGCAGCCTGGACACTGCCCGCAGCGTCGAGAGCGCCGGCCCTTTCTGGGTGGGGCCTCATGGACCGTTTTCTGCCTTGTTACTGGCTTAATAGGAGGTGTGGGTGGCTCCGCCTCCTCTGATCCAGCCACTGATGATTTGTCTATTCAAGCACCATTAAAAGGTTACAAACAATGAAACACACACACAAAAAACAAACTAGTTCTACGATGTTCTCTCACCATCATTTCCCATGGAAGACAAGATCTTTTCTCTCTCCTCCCATGGCAAGGCACTAAGTGTAGGCATATCATCTGGGAACACAGCACGGTTGCGACCCAGAGCTACAGCTGCACGTCGACACACATGCTTAATGCGTGGACCACGAACTGATGTCTCAGAAGAGTCACTCTCTTGACCCTACACAAAACAAACACATGGAAATTGCCTTCTGTGTTTTTGGGGAAAACAACCTGGGAACATTTTTCAAAGCAAAGGGGACAGCAAAAGACAGGACATACCGGTAATTTAGGTTGATCGCCAGGTTGTACCTCTCTCTTCTCTATCTTATTGAGCTGAGCTTTAGCTTTTCTCAGCAGTCCTGCAACACGCCTGTCTGTGACTGGCTGTTTCTCGGCATGAGCTAACATGGAGCCCAGTGATGTGGTGGCAGGGGGTTTTCCCATCTGCCCTGCTTGGGTAGGAGCACTCAATTTCTCCTTATCCTTCACCCTCTCTACTCCCTCTGCTTCAATACTCTTCTCTGAAGGTCTGCCTTTTTTGGCCAGACGACCCTTTGAGGACAAGGCCCCAACAGGCTGAACTGCTGTAGAGTCACTTGGGGAGGCCTCTGCACCAGAGTCAACTGTGACTGACTTCTTTCGACCAGGTGTCCTTTTTTGGGTGAGAGATTCTGCAATGTCCCTGGCCTCCATTGCAAAGAGGCTAGATGTAGAATCCTCCAATGGAAGACTCTTCCCTCTTTTATCCCAGTCTTTCCTTCCATCTGTTTTGTTTTCCTTTTCACGCTCTCTATTCTTCTCCATCTCCCTGTCCTTCTCCTTTGTACCTGTGTCTCTAGTAGCAGAGACGCTCCGTTCCCTACCTGCTTTTCCAGTCCCCCCACCTGATCCTTGATTACTGGGGGTAAAAAGAGGGAAGAGCTGTGAAGATGAAGCAGAGCTCCCACTCACACCGAGACCCCCTGCTGCTCGCCGCCCATCGGAAACTCCGTGGCTCGTAAGACCAATGGAGCCTGAGGGGAAGCCACTGAAAGAAGCTTGTGTTAAGGCACTGGCAGCAAGTGGACTGACTGCGACTCCAGGCAATGGGCTGGAATTCCCAGTCACACTTATGGGAACAGAACTGCTAATCATGGATTGTTCAGAGGCTTTCCCTGTTTGAACTCCTGACTGACTGCTCCTGGTAGTCATAGAGTGTGAGGGTGACCTGGGTTGTCCACGTGAGAACCTAGACCCCTTTCTCTTTTTGTTTGATGTTGGTGAGACCTGAAGGGGGGAAAGAGAGCCAGGGCTGCTCCCTGAAGAGGATGGGAGTGTGACCGACTCAAAGATGCGGGAGTGAGCCGGACTTGGATTGAAGAAAGGGGGGCGTAGTAGGGGGCTGCGCTTTTGAAGTGGCGTTTCAAACCGCGACGAGGGGTGCTGGTGGTGATTGTGGTGAGGATGATGATGCAGGGGGGAGAAAAGTCTGGAACCTGTCCCAGCTGCACCAGCAGGCACTGGGAATCCTCCTGGTGCAACACCACCTCCACCAGGTCCTGGTGGCATGAGGCCCACATCCTCAGCAGTCAGTGGAGGAGGACGAAAGTTGTCAAAAGTGGGCTTGCGGATAAGGCCCTCCTTTGCATACTTGGCAGAGGAGAAGTACTTATTTTCAGCACAGGACAAAGACTTCCAGCGGAAAGTGGGCTCTCGTAGTATGGAGTGACGTTTATCGTGAGAGCTGGAGAGTATTGGAGGGGTGGACAGAAAAGGGGCAATGGAATGTGACATCATCCATGGAGAGTGGGTGTGATGCTCAGATGATCCTGCCTGGGGAGGCTGAGGAGGGCTGAGAAGAGGAGGAGGTGGTGGTGATGAGGATGATGATGCCGTAGAAGAGGCTTGTTGAGACCCAGCTTGTGAAACCCCCGTGGCTGGGCTGATGATGGCTTGTTTCCTTCCACCAATCAGGCTGCCCCTACCACGTGCCACTAAAGCACCCCGCCTATGACTCTGACCTCTGCGACCCCGCCTGCTGCGCTCCATCAACACTACATGGTCTGGCTCAGATGGTGGTGATGGTGGGTGCGAGGCGTGGCGCATGCTGGCCTCTGTCTCTCCCTGAGAGGCAGGGGAATGATCTGCCTCTTCTGAGAGAGCCTGGGAACCCTCAGAGGCCTGGGAATCACAGGAGGAGTCATCAAGACTAGGGCTGCTGGAGCGAGACGACTCACCAGAAGAGAGCTGAGAGGAATGCTGCGAAACAGCGCTGGAGCCACAGGACGCCGCACTGCTACTGAATCGCCCATTGCTTGTGCTATTGTTGCAACTGCTGTTAAGAAGAATGGTTGCAATGTTGTTGGCATTGCCAGTCGGAACAGGAGGTGGGGGAGGAGGGAGAGAGTCAACAGCAGGCCCTGCTCCGGGTGTGGCAGTGGTTCCACTTGTGAAGGGAGCTGTGGAAACAAGAGCTTGAGTGGGTGATGTTATGGGCTGAGGTGCTGGGGCAGATGCTGCAGAGTCCAATCGAGCAATTTTCATGTGTGGTGGTGGAGGGCTGAAACTGCCTTCATCATCGATAAACCGCTTTGGAGTCTTGATGATGCGCAACGACACTGTGCTCACAACAGGCATGATAAATTGCCTGATGTTTGTTAGCTGTGTTCGTCTCCTGTGCTTCCCACCCTCAAGACCTGCAGTTCCCTGGGTGCCAATAGCTTCTTTTTCCAATAGTTTCTTTTTCTGGGCCCCCTTCTTTGCCCGCTGCAGCAGCTGCTTTGCAATAGTGGCATCAGTGCGTTTGGAGGGAGGGACGACCCGCACAGGTTTGATATGGCGAGGGCTCTGACGTAACCCTAATGGCCTCCCGTGTTTAGTTGGGGTCATTGGGTTGACTGTAGGGGAGTCATGGGGATCTGGGCTAGTGCGTTCATCAGCAGGATGAGAAGCCCTGAGCTGGAGATCATGTGGAGTGCAGGTACCCAAATCTTGTGCCCGACGAACCCTGAAGTCCTTATGTTTGGTAGTCCCAGGTGCCGTGGTGGACATCTCCTGGACCGAGGAGGCATTAGCAACCTGAGTAGCAGCAGCAGCAGCAGCAGCAGCTTCAGCTTTGAGGCGCTCGGCAGAAGGTGGCCTGCCCCGCCTCCGTCTTTGCACACCAGAACCAGGAACTGGGACACTCTTCCTCACAATGGCCTTCAGCTTAGACTTCAAAGGGCTCAGTTTGACATCCCGCAATCTTTTCAGTTTGGTCACCTTGGACTCCCGGCTGATTTTGTGAAGCTTAGCCTCAGATCCCTGACGGTGCCCAGACCCAAGCAGAGTTTGTCTTTTCTCCTTGTCTTCGTCCTCTACACCGTCCTTGTGGTGTGTGGGACTGGAGCTGCACTCCTGTTCTGCATCCCCATCCTCTTCAGGGAGTGCATGGCCGCTCTGTTGCCAGCTCCTCTGGCTGGCAGAAGCAGGAGGGCGGCCTCTTCTTTTTTCTCCTGTGCCAGGAGGCCTCCCTGGTGGTCGTTTTACCTTCTCTGTAGGAGCTGTGGCGAGAGGCAAAGGGGCTGTCTCAATATCAGTGCCAACCCTCTGCGCAGCTAGAGCCCTAGGAGGACGTCCTCTGGGTTTTTTTCCTAATGAGATAGAACCTGACACAAAGAGAAAGCACTCCATTAATAAGCTATACATTTTTTCATGTTTAAATTAGGGCTGTGCGATATGGACAAAAAAACCTATCGCGATTTCTTTTATCAATTTTGCAATTTCGATTTTAATCACGATTTTGACACACACAGACATGCTTTAGTCATAAATGCATTCAGTGTGAATTTGAAACATATTTCCAAAAGAAAACCAATTAGAGCTTTATCAAGAAGTTGTAACATGTCTCTAGAACAGACATAAGGCAAAATAATCACTAAGTAAAGGTGTAACAAAATGTCTCTAGAATAGACATATGGAAGGGGGGGAAAAAATCCCGTGTCCAGGGATTTTTTTTGCCATGCATTGGTAATAGAGCTCTTTGTGGCGTTGCCTCAGATGTTGAACTAGATTTGTTGCGCCAAGTTCACACGTCTGCAGTGCGTATACAGTATGTGTATGCAGTGCAGAAGCAGCACAGACTCATTTTGCTTCCGCACAAGATGCGTTTGCAGTCCGCTCCTGATCCTCGGCTGTTTACCACAAACACAAAATGTATCCATTATTTTGATTTCAAATCCAAACGTTGTTTCTAAAAGCATTGTGATTTGTGTTTCAGCTTTGTGATTCTCTTTTATCACAGTACAGTAATACAATCTTTCATAGACATACACGTTTAAACTCAATAAATATAACTTTAACTACCACCACAAGTGCCATCTATTATTGCCTTGTTTATCTAAAAGTGCACTTTTCCTTGTTTTAAATCTAGCCAAAAAGCCATGTGTTGACTGTGAAACAGTAGACTTTAATTATATGCATTTTTGGTGTAATTACAAAATTTCTGTGTCAATCCATGTTAATTTTACCGCAAATAATGCGCTGTCACTTTAATTCAGCGCATGCAGCACAGCAGAAATAGACTCCGCGCGGAAACGATCGCAGCATGACTGCTGCAGACCGCTCCTGGAGCACACTGCCGGACCGCAATCACATGCAGTGTGAACGCTCTGATCCGTTAACATGGGCATGGACAAAATACGCACCACAGACGGAGTGTGTGAACCTGGCATTACGTTTGTATGCCCGCCCGGTCTGTTCTGATCTCGTGCTCCATTTAGGCGTGCTGCATTCTGATTGGTTCGGATAGCATATTGCGGGAGGTCGGGGGCGTGTAAAATCGTGCTGTAAAGCGATTTAGCGCATGCTCAAATCGTGATTTTATGACGATTTCAATTAATCGCACAGCCCTAGTTTAAATGTTACAATGCATCTAAATTACACTTGAGAAAAACAGCAAGTTAGATCTTACAAGATCCCAATTATAATTATTCTACAACACAGTTGGAGAGAGACAGAATTAGAGATGTAAAAGATACTTTACCTATTGACGTCCTTCCTGGGCTATGTATTCTTCTGTTGTCACTGACTGTGCTGAAGCCTCCAAATTCCTCCTACAGAAATGAAAATGAAAAAAGGGAGAGATTCAGTTAACTCAGTGGTTCAGTGTGATTTAACCTTAAGAGATTAATTTTTTTCTAAATGAGCATCCACAAAATCAAACATGCTACTGTCGAATAAGACATTCAGTTTTGCTACACTCCATCTCATGACTAAGAAAATGTTGAGGCCAGATGACCACTCAATGTTAGCAATTCTCATCCTGAAACCACCGAACAGTTGCTGACAGCTCAGGAGTCAAGGTAAAAGAAAAACATTAGCGGTCCATTGTGAATTTATGGATGAAAACACATTTGACAAGACTGAAAATGCAATACGTTCCCATCCTGTTATTTGAATTATCATAATATCTAACTGTCATACCCTCTAGTTCAAGGAGCATATTTCAGTCATTTGTTTACCCACCATCTGTTCAAAACAACATCCAGTGCAGCCTAAACATGACCTTTTTAATAAAAACACAATGCATCACCAAGAGATCAGGCTCAGTTACCCTAATGAATTAAGATACAGCATGGAACTAAAACGGGCCAGAAAACCTGAGTGCAAACTTTATACTGCAAGATTTGGTTGTACCCTAAATTTTCCATTTTCAGCCTGGCAGCTACTTGCCAGGTGGCCCAAAACAACAGACTTTTAAGACTTTACTCAAAAGTAGGCAAACCATTTTCTGTGCTCTCCCTACAACTTGAGAAAGTAACAATCGCATCTGCGATAGCACCTCCTACGGAGATGACCAGTTCCACCAATTCCACTCAGGTATCCTTAGCAGATGCTGTCGCTAGGCTGCATGACATCAGCGCTGATCTCACTGTCAGGACATCTGTTGCAATAGCCGTATCGCCTGACAACTGCTCCACCTCCCTCAATCAAACGGGCTAAGCTTTGCAGACGTCCTATGATATGATTTTATAAATCTCCAGGCTTTTATGATAGCCCTGTGCTTATCTCACACCTGACATGAGGGATACAAGGAGGAATGCTGATTACATGGCCCATTTGGGCTCTTGCCTTCCTGATCTAATTCTGTCACAACATTTTAGGTAAGCCATAATTCCAAATCCATTTTAGAGTCAACTTAAACGGTCCATATCCCTTTAAATCAGCCACATTTCCCACATTTATCAGATTTTTCAACAGGCTTACAGTGCAGATAATTACTGTAATTACTGTCTGCTCTGCAGCTGGGCGCGTTGTTTTATGTTGTGATAAAAATGTCTCAGTCATTGAAGTGTCCTTGGTGTGAATTAAGTTGTACTCACAAGGACACACACTGAGAGAAAGCCTAATCGTGTGTGTGTGTGTGTGTGTGTGTGCGCGCAGAGACCAGTTCCACAGAGCATTTAAAAGGATTTTATGGACCTAACTGAAACTGGGAGCGCATCAAAAGGAATTCCCTGCAACTATGAATTCTGAAATAGAGTTGTGCAAAATTAAATTTTCAAGATCAAATCATCAAGTACTCAATCTTAAGGAAGCCCTGTATTGGACAAAAAGGAGGGAAAAACCGCTAGACAGAGCAGAATGAAATGGGTAAAAGCATTACAAGACACGTTTGAAATGTGTAAGTTGGGCCATTTTACCTTGACACAGTGCCTTAAATACAATGCTTATGGCAGAACGCTCATATAAAAATGTGACGGCCAAAAGACATCTATCTGCATGTGTATGGCCGTAGCAGTGTTGGTCTGAAGGAAATTAATTTACACACATAACAGAAACAGAAAACTAGAGAAAACTAAACTAAGATTCAAATAAAGCCCCAACCAATCATCAGAAAAGAGTGAGCAAGTGACACTGGCATCTTAATATACATTTATGCCAATGTGCTTACAGTTTGCTACATATTACTACCACTACTACTATTACAGTGTAAATGGATCTTCATTAGATTGAACAAGCACTGACAACATTTCACTATGCACTAAGCCCTACCTCTCAAAAGATGATTAATGTCTACATGTTCCTTAAACATCCTATTATGTTGATTTTCAAGCCTTAGGGGCGTTTCATTTCATATTCTTTATTTATAGTAGCATGTGGGGCTGCTGATAAATTCCCTTCGGTCCAGTTTGTAGAACAGATGCCGCCGGAGACTGCACACATACAAGTCAAATCTCTCTAACAAACCCCATTCGGCTTTAATTTCAACATATGGCGACAAATTTCTAATGGGAAGCAGAACAAAATTAAATGAGAGTCTGTTATCAGATGATCAGTGTTAACAGATCATCTTATTTGAGTATTTTTTCCATATCCAATTACTGATGGGGAAAAGAACAGTAAAATTAAAATGAGGAGCTGATTCAGATAAGGCAAAAAATATATACATAAATCTCCAGAGATGATGTTTACAGTGAACATTTATTGATAGTGAATTTGTCAGTCTAATTTTTGTCCTCCAGCTCTTTTGAATGCAAGCTCTCAGAGCTACGATGACTTCATTGCAGCTCTACTGTTGTGCCGAAGGTGATAGAGTACTAGAGAGCTGTGAGCAATGGAGCAGTGGAGCTCAAAGTCAGTGTGACACCATGAGTAGCTCTCAATGACAGCACGACTCTGCCTCAGGCACTCAAAAGCGCGCTTGCGTGCACACACACACACACACACACACACACCCTCCTCCACCTTGTGCGTGCGGCACACTGCAAGATGTAAACAACATCTCAAGACAAGAGGAAAGGGAGGAGGGACGGAGGGATGCAGGGTGGGAGAAACAGAAACGGGTACAGAGCATCATTCTGACCATAAAGGCAAGGAGTGAAGATGCAGCATGATGAAAAGGCTCAGAGGCCAACAATTATTATCATTATTAACCTTTAACCAGGCAAATAATTTAAGAATGAATTCCTATTCACAACACCATCCTGGCAGGAGAATATCAATCTCCTGGAGGACATACAGACAGACATAACATTATACACATACAATACATCAAAACTTAACACACACAAAAAAAGATTAGTTAAAACATGAAAAGCTAATCTAAAACGCACACCCACACACCACAAGTACCCTGACTAACCACTCCGGTGGAGCTGCTCAATCAACACCCACAGCAGAGATGGAGGGGGGAGCGGCGATACTGGGCTTGAGAAAGTGACACTCGGCTCGGCCAAGGCGCCTGAGCACCTGCTGCCAGTACAGGATGGGGGAGGAGAAATAGTGGTGGCGAAGGGGGGTGACACAAAGACATTTGTTTGTTATTGTCTACTTATTTTATTTTTGTTCCCACATCTTTATTACCCAAACCACTGGGGGGAATAAAATCCAAAAAGTAACTACAGGCCAAAAAAAACAATAACATTAATAGAAAAATGCTAAACTTCTACTAAAACTTTATTTTGAACAGCATATTTATTTGTTTATTATTATTGTTTAAAGAAATAGCACTAAGAAAAATAAAGCGAAGCAAAATAAAACTGAACAGCATATTTATTTGTTTATTGTTTAAAGAAAGAGCACTTTAAGAAAAAGAAAAATAATAAATAATAATAATAATAGAAAAGTGCTCTATTTCTGTAGACTTTAAAGTAATGAATAATAATAAATATAGAATTGCCATAGGTCTATTTGCAAAATAAAAATAAACAATTGTAAATAAAAGTCACTAAAATCTTTTGAACCAACAGACCAGTTGGTTAAAAGTAAAGACTTACTTTTGAAAAAAGTTCTACAACCATTTGTTTGCAGATGCAGCTTGGTTTGACATTTTCAAATACTTTTTTAGGGCCACTGTGCTTTTGAGTTTTAAGAATGCATGGTTTTGAAAAGGCTGATCACCCCAAACATGTGAGCACTCCCAACAGAGGGACAGGATTACAAATCAGGATCCTCCTTTCTAAAAAGAGCAGATAAAGTACTTGTTTGTGCTACCTCTCGGTTCCTGTAAATAAAAGGTAAGCAAACAAGACTATTTGTTTACATAAACTCATTACATCCTGTTCTGAGCAGATGGTCACAAACCCAGGAAAGTTGCTCAACATGGCATCTACAGTTCGCTTATAACTGGGCATAAACTGGCATGCACACTGCAACCTGGCAACTCTCCCTCCTCAGAGCGGGACATAATTGCACTACTGTGTGTGTGGCCAACTATACCAAACACACACACACACCCCTATAATCACAGTAAGCCAACATATCCACATCAAGACATGTAACTGATTATCATCTCTAAGCCTGGGGATATGTGATAGTGGGGCCCTTCATAAATTCACTGAATCACCATTTTCTAAACAATGTGAAGTTTTGACAACTGCTGAGGCATCAGTTTCCCTAAAAAATGCCTGTATAAAAGATAAACGCAAAGCATAAAACATTAAAATGGGGTCAGACTGATTGCATTCACAGCGAAAATGCACAAACCCCCAACAACTCATAGCAAAAGAAACCTGGTCATGTGACCGGTAAAAGAGCACATTTGCGTGGTCACATATGAGAAATCTTTTAGGTTGCTTGAAAACCCCCAGGGAAAACACGAAACTGATGGGGACCCCAGTATTTCGATTATTATTACCTCTCAAAACACTTTCATAACACAAAAGGCACCATTAGAAATGTCCCTTTGTGAGATGCAGATCTAATGATCTGATGTTGCTCATGCACCCACATGCAAAGCACTCAAAACTGTGTTTCTGAAACAACTTTCAACACCTTACACCCACGCTAATGAGGAGCCGTGGCTTTAAGATAAAAACAAAGCTGCGCCTCCTGCGAGGTGTAATAATGAGGGACGTAAATTCGGAGAGAATTGCTCCATGCACTCAATGGCTGCTGCTGCCCCCCCTCAGAGCAGAAAGCGGGAGGCAAAACCCCCTCTGCCCGCCTACAAAAGCAGAATAAAGCCATGGATGGGACGGCCTGTGTCTAATTCCCTCCCAGCGCTGTCCCAGGGGGAGGAGGGCTTGCTCTTCACCCTTTGATATCCACGTCTGTGCTCTTTCAGCTGCCTGCACTTAGTAAAGTCTGGAATAAAAGCAGACACAAAGCTTCCTGCAATGATCCACATGCTGTCTGGGGGACAGGGCCCTCACCAGATAAATAGGCCAAACACCTGCTGGACTTCTTCCCTCCGTATAGGCCACTCCATTCATTAGAAAGCAGTGGAGCAAAGCATTCATTTGCTGTATCCATTCAACTGCACTTTTGTATGAGGCCTTGATATTGATCCTCATTCTGCTTCTGTAAGTGGGGCTTTACTCTGGACATTAAAAGGCAAGCCAAATGGCATCCCTCACAAAGGCACTGATGAATGGAGACTTAAACAGGACACCCCCTGAAAGTAACAGTTGTCTAGCAAGCAGCCATGGACTTGTATTTGCACTTAAGATTTAGACGAAAGTATCTCGAACGTGGTTCTGAAAATCAACAGCTTCGTTTTCTGGAGCTGCAAGAAATCACGCAGATGTATTACCTCTATGTAAACATTTTAAGCTGTCCAAATGAGTTAATGAAGTAGTCTAAAAGGCAGCCATCAGAAGTGAAATCCTTTTGGGGCCCTGTGGGCCTGTGCTGTTGGATTTGGGTCTGATTGGAAGGAGGGGCGGTGTGCTTCTGTTTACTGAGCATGCTACTGGCCTTAGGCTGCTCTGTGAGCTCAGCGGGCTGCGATGAACCAGAACAATCCTACCTAGGCACAACATCCCCTCTGAATGAAACTACAATGCTGTGTCCGCAACTCGCATGAGCTGCAAGCTCCGCTGGGATTTTAGCCGTCTGTCTGGCTTGTACACTACTTATACGATTCACAAATGTATTCGTTTTAATTTAGCTCTTTTCAAAAAGGCTCCAAGGGTGTATTAAAGCATACAGAACTGCTACAAACGCACACAATAAAGCACGGGAAAGAAAATGCAAGCTTTGGTTGAAATTTTGAAAGTAATTTCTTAAAGTCAACATACATTGTAATTTGCAAACCTTTTGACTTCTATACTGGGGAATATTTATGAATGAAACAGTATGTTCAATGAGAATAAAAGTACGGCAAAACAATGTTGCCTTAATAGTTAACATAATTAACATTATCCAATAGCCTGCTTGGCCTAAGTGACATCACAAGAAAAGGAAAGTTGTTTTAGAGGATGAGCAAATTCATCATGATTAAAGCCTACAATAACAATTGTTTTCAATAACATGACAAGAACAAGATCTATTTAAAATGAATATATTTTGATTTAATTTAGACTTGTAAAGAAACATTTAAAGTAAATGTGCCTTAAAAACAGCAAACGGTTGTACAATTGTGAGTGATTTACCATGGCATACAAACCACAACATATAATGTACACAAAACAGACTAAAGCAGGGGTGGGCAAACTTGGCCCTTCCAGGCCCCTTTCCTTCAGCGTTTAGCTCCAACCCTAATCAAACACACCTGAACCAGCTAATCATCGTCTTCAAGACTACTAGAAGACTACAGGAAGGTGAGTTTTATCAGGCTTGGATCAAATCTCTGCAGGAAAGTGGCCTGGAAGGGCCAAGTTTGCCCATCACTGGACTAAAGCAATAGTAGTAATATAATTTTATTCAATGCCTTGTCAGCATCTGGGGCTATTTTCATGGCAAAATTTCAATTACAAAAATGTAAATATCACATAAATACAATAAAAACCAAGCAAGCAAATAAACAAACAAACACAGCAAATAATATTAGACTAAAGCAATAAGAACAACCTACATTTTTTTTTATCTTAACCTTATAAGAGGAGTGAATATGGCGAGTGTGCAGTATATACGTACATAAATATAAAACGCCTCAATACGTCACGTCTAATAACCATATCTCGACGATCTTATATCTGCACCACGTTTTCAAACGGTAAATTACCCGTAGGCGAAACACAAAATCAAGCACGGTATTTGCATGTTTCTGGTTCGCGCCCGCTCTCGTTTCGTTCTCCCCGCGTTTCCGATGCGCAGCGCTCTACTACTGAGAAAGGAAGATGGTAGTTTGTCACAGTACACACCTCCACACAAAAAAACCTCCGTCAAACGCTGCCTTTTTATTGCAGCCGCCTTTTGCGCCGCTCAAACCACTGCATTTGGCGTCTTTGACTAAACACATGGTCCCTGTAGCCTCAGAGACGTTTCGCACAGGAATCACTTGATTCCTGACCAATGTGACATTTTTTTCGATTGCATACTGCTACTACGCAATATCTGTGAGGGGAAAAAAACATGTCCACCTCCCATTTTCCCGTGCATCAGCGGGTGCTAACAGGCTAACGCGTTAGCCAGCCTCCTCTCGAGGGTGAAGGAGATCAAACACAAGAGGTTTACAATTACACACTGCAAACTTTTTCAACAGAATGAACAATTTGTGAATGTACGCCCCATCCTCCGCAACAAAATAACACACCAGGATGCGTTTTTAACAGCAACACCGTTTATGCTACTAGCATCATCCATTTCTCAACCCAAGCTAGAGGGTAATGAATAACTGGACAAAACAATATCAGAAGTGCACACATGCACGGCCACAATAGTTTTAGGAGTAGAGCATTACATCTTCTAAGCGCAATCCACGCTTTCATATAGGCCGATACTTTAAAGTGAAGTTTAATATCCAAACAGACTGCAGCTGGGATAGATGCACTCTGCGTGCTATCGCTAAATGCTCAGACAACAACAACCAACTGACACCAGGTGTTCAGTCCTGCTAAAATGTGCTCGTTTATGCTTACTGAAACACCCCAACCGGTGTATTTCTCTACAAGAGGAAAGTTCCGTTATACACCACCAGGCTTCTGAACTAAGTTGTCTTTTGGTGAAAGAAACGCGGTGAGCTAACTCAGACGTCCAATATGGAGTCATCAAAAGGTATCATTTAATCTCTTTATGGGCGAAAAACGCTATTTAAAATGGCCAGAGCAACTGAAAGGTGCTAAATATCTTTAAACTTCATCCTTTATCTCTGAGCGCATCATTTTTGGCACAAGCTGTGCATTAAGCAGGGTATTTTCTACGCCTTTTAGCTTAAAAAGTGCTTTCAGGGTGTTTAAATTCAAAAAGCGGTGTCACATAAAACACACGAGACTCCGAATCAAATTGAAACAAGTTCGACCCAAAGAAGCCATCAGTTATCTAGCTTCACATCTCCATCCTGTCAAAAATGGTACTAAACTCCTCGGGGTCCCAAAATATGACGCTAGAACGCCTCAACATAGACATCAGACCGCAGAAGCACAGCAACATCAGTCATTCGTTAGGAATGGGTACATGTTTTGATGTGGGCTAGCTAGCAGTTTAGCCTGTCAGTAGTCCCATAGTGAGAAAAACAGCACATGGATGGAGACATGTGTCTGCTGCGCAGCAAAATAACTAGCTCACTCACTCTCCTCACTGAGCAACTTAGAGCTGCTACACAGCCGCGGAGTTATTTCTAATTCCTGCATTGATCATGAATGAGGCTAACGCTTTAGCCAGGGTCCCGCTTACCTCCCCGCTGCTGGAGCCGCTCGACTCCCCCAAAACATCCCGAAATTTCTGCAGGTTGCTGCCGATGGCAGCAGACACTTGCAACGCAGCGTCGAAACCGGGCCCGAGCCCATTCGCGTTCGGATTAGTCCCCGTGCTGTTTCGGAGGGAAGCACTGACTCGAATTCGGCCCGCTTTCCTCCCGGTGCCCGAGCTGCTGCTCCCTCCGGGCCGAGCAGGGAACCGCCACCGACAGCTGTGCGCCATTTTACACTCTGCCTGCCTGCCCTAGGATCAGGAGCTCAGTGTGGGCGTAGCCCCGAACGAGCGATCTCAACGCACGGCCGCTCTCGTCTAGCGGTCAGAATGGATTATCCATGTTTCGGGGTGGTGGTACCGAGGACCCCGACAAGCTCAGAGATGTTTTTACGCAGGTTCGTCGGCGATACTCAAGGGAGGGGAAAAAACTGTACATCAGGCAAAGGAAGACTGCTTAGCAAAATGTAACTAGGAATTCAGTGCACTTTTTATATAGGCCTTTATATTTGAGGCTTTAAGAACTTAATTATATTAAATAGTTACGTTTTTACCATTTGCTAATTGTATTATTATTTTTTATTATTTAATAGCTTTTTTCTCTAATATATATTTTAGTTTCCATTTGTTGACGGTAGGGGTGCAGAAATTACACACGCAATTTAATGCAATTTCTGCACCCCTACCGTCAACAAATGGAATTGCCAAAAAAAAGTGACTGTTTTCAAACAGGTTTCTTTGAACACGCCCCCATCTGCTATTGGTCAGGGAAACAGGTAGCCCCCGAAAATGTCATATGAACAAGTAACATGTCTGCCAGTTTTGTTTTGACCACCTGAAAAAAAAATTACAATAAATAGCGCTACCAATGGTGATTTGATTAAATCTAACAATAGCAAAGTGAGCTCAAATCACGTCAAACCATGCAAATTATTATTGTTATACTTTGTTCTCAAATTGTTAATGTTAACATCAACATTGTCATACCATTAGAATTTCATCAAAATAAATTGTTCTTTTAAACTCAAAAGCAATTTAATGTTCCTTAGTACTCGTTCTCTTTAAAATACAAATATTTTGTAAATTCAGTGTGTAATCCCACGTATCTGTAATCAGATGCACATTTAAAACTGGAATATAATCTAATTTCAGTCATTTACGTTTTTCATTACCATCACGCACCGTTTAATAAGTTTAATTATTCCAGCTACTAAGAAGAGGCTATAAATGATCCAAAAAAAAAAGTAGTGCAGCTTTAACTAAGAAATCAAAAAATGAAATTTCTAATTTCCAAGCATTTGCATCTCTCAACACACATATGTATAGTGAGTTCTAAACAAACACAAAATTACAGTCAATCCATGGAAGCTTTTGACATAATATTTACATAAACTAATGCTCTAAAAAGATTTAAAAAATTTACACGTCACTGATTTTAATTTTGGAAAATGTAATTACAATACATTGATTTTTTTTTATCCAATGTTGTGCAATAAATCCATAAGCACATTTAATATACAATAAAAAAAAAGTTGCCAACAAAAATAAAATTAACATCAGGAAAGCATGCTTTTATTTGCAGCAGTTGGATTGTAGTTAGTTAGCAGAATCATTAATCTAAGACCATTGTAGAAAGTCTGGTTCGATATTCAAGAGGGACATGTTAACATGTACATTATATGACTACTGTCCATAATGTTATTAACAAACAAATTTTATTTAACAAGAAAAAGTTCAATTGTGTTAAAAGAGACAAATGAGTGAGCAAATGCACAATTTAACAGACAGAAATATCACAACAGAGCCTAAAGCATTCAGTTTGCTTTGAGAATTCATGGGGTCAGGTTTATTGATTAGGTGAGGTCTTGAAAATATGAGGGAGCAAAGAATTTCAGACTTAAAACCAACTAACACCCACTGAAATAAACAATTCAGTGAAAATGCAGACATACCCTACACCACTTGACAGGTCAATCTAATGCAACTCTCTCACAACCAAAAGCAGTAAGTGGACAGTGTCTTATCAATGTCATCTTTTAAGACAAATGTCAGTAGCAAGGTCCATCCACCCAGAGCATGCAGTTTTGCAGTTGTTAACAAAAGAGACATGATGTCACTCTGTATGAGGAGGTCATATGGCTGACTCAGCAGCCAAATAAGTCATTACTCTGGACATATTGCACTGTTAAAAGACACAATGGATTCTTGTAAAGTGTATGGGGTATTTCCAAACATTTCAACAAGAGCTCAATATTCTTAATGAGTCTCATAAAAGTGTATATTATAGCAAATGCTTCTTGAGTTTCAAGCATAAAATGTTTGTAATGAACAAAAGCTTTTTGACAAATGGTAAAGCTACCGACCATTCCACAAAGAATCCAACATGTTACTGCTGCGTTATGGAGCACAAATGCCTTGAAAACCAATAGGTACAACTATAAAAACTGAAACTCTGGAATATAATGCTGATGATGTTAGCAATATATTTTATGATAGTTTAATCTCTTTTGCTGCTAACATTGTTTTGCTTTGATATTGTAATCAATACTGCCACAACACCCTCCTTAATATCAAATGAGGCCACAACTCTTCTTCTTTAATATCAAATGCGGTACACTGCTTATATTCTAACTTAAAGTTAACAATAAGCGATGCATATAAAATATTGCATGCATAGGAGTCAGAGGTAGGGCAAATGCATTGAACAGGTAAGCAAACCTCATGTACGCTGTCATATGTCTATAAGCCCAAGTTTCATTTCCCACAGTGAACATCTTTGCGAGGCAAAATGTAACAGAAAAAATGACTGTGGTTATTGAGTTCCTCAGACGTCTGAAGAGTTTGAAAGGACAGATAGCCGAATATGCTACAGTGATATGGCATTTGGAGATTTGCATTTGACCTTTGAGGAGCACACTAACACCATAAATGCAGACGTGCTCCTCCAAATGTGGTTAAAATGTTCTTGTTTCAAATGGTATGAAAGAGGCCAGAAACATCTGAATGGCTTCGTCATACAAAGCATGCCTGTGTGCTGGGGGAAGGGAGTAATATGGTTTAGCCACTGGGTCCCATTTGCTGGTTGCTTTGCTTATGATCAGCAAGCCACTTCATGATCTGTTGCCTGAGCTCTTCATTGGGCCTGATCTGGTCCATGGTGAGTGGGCTGCGGTTGAAAGGGTCTGTCTGGTCACTAGAACAAAAAAGACAAGACCAACACTGCTATTAAGACTTTTACTTAATCTACTAGCAGTTTTGATAATGTTAACAAAGTATAAAAAAAAAATTTGTAAAGCTGAAATAAAATGGAGTAAAATACAAAGATTAGATGAAACTTGGAAAAAGTTGCCTTGCAGCTAAAATAAGTTGAAGTTGAAGTACTAAAATTACTAAAACTGAAATAAAAATTAAAGCTATATAGAATTATAAACACAAATGATAAATGTGCAAAACAAAATTACTAAAATAAATATATAAAAAATAATTAAAAATGTTAAAGGGGTCATATGATGTTGCTAAAAAGAACATTATTTTGTGTATTTGGAGTAATGAAATGCGTTTATGCGGTTTAAGGTTCAAAAAACACATTATTTTCCACATACTGTACATTATTGTTTCTCCTCTATGTCCCGCCTTTCTGAAACGCGTACATTTTTACAAAGCTCATCGGTCTGAAAAGCGAGGTGTGCTCTGATTGGCCAGCAATCTAGTGCATTGTGATTGGCCGAATACCTCAAGCGTGTGACGGAAATGTTACCCCCCTTACCATATTGTGATGCCGTGTCCCGGAGCGACGAGACAAAAACATTAAAACCCATTATAAACGAGGCATTTGTTGCATCCAGTGGGGACATAATTACGGAGTCTTTTTACGCGTTGCATCTCGCCGCGTAAACATAAAACCATGTCTGCATTTGTGATCGGAGAAATGACAAACAACAAGCGCTACTCTACACTGCTCAAAACTCACGTTTGAATCATCAGTGGCAAATCCTTTAAATATGAAAACGTACTTACAGTCTGTGAGTCAGAACAGCCGGCATTGTAGTCTACTCTACTAGGATCAGGAAACAGTCCTCCATAAAATGCGCTGCACAGATCTAAATATTTGGGTTGAAGTGTTCTGGAACAGTGTTGTAAATACAACTTAACCACTGATTTCTAGTCGTGTCCTCTTTTGGATGGCCAAACAAAGTATTTTCGCTTTCGCAATGAAACACACAGCGTCTTCACAACATGGTGGTGGCGGTGCCAGCAACAATAAAGATATGCCTTTTTTCTTTGCGTGAACATTTGGGCGGCGTTATGCAAATCTTCCCACATCGTGACGTAGACATGTGGGGGCGTGTTAGAATGAGGCATTTTAGGAGGGCATGGACCAGTCTTTTATAAAGAATATCTCTTTGGGTTTGAGACTTTAGTCTTTGCAACTTCAGGGATCTTATCTATTCACGAACAGCTTGTAACACTCCAAAGAGAAAGGAAAACTTGAAATCGCATCATATGACCCCTTTAAAAAATATTATAATACCATATAAATAATAGTGAAATAACCAGCATCAATTATGCTATATACTAGGCTTGCCGCGATACAGTGCTGACGGTGATACTGTTGTTAAGCCACAACACCGGTTACGGCACCGACCCCCACCGTCGTTTTTATTTTTTATAGTATTCAAATTAAATTTAGTTCAGTATAAGAACAGACACTACAATTAAAAACTGAACGCGGCTGCTCAATGCAGTGTGTAGTCGCATCACAGATCAGATTACATTTATCCAGTGAGGAGAGTGAGTCGAGCTGACTGACAAGAAGAGTGGGGTGAGACAGACAAGATGATGGCGGATGATTTAGTTTCGAAACGAACTGCAAAAGCGCCTGTTTGGCAGTATTTTGGATTTTGAAAAGCCTGTTGACTTTTTCCATTTATTTAAGGTGATTTTGGAAGTTTTTTTAAACATTTGTTTCTTATTTAATTGGTTTCACAGTGTTTGCTGATTTTTACTTTATTTAAACTTTGTGTAATTTATTTATTTGGTTATATATTATACATGTTTACTTATTTCCAGTTTTGTATACATATTTCAACTTTATGCAAGTTATTAGTTAATTTATATTAGGCATAGCCTGCCCTACAGCATGGTGTATTTTTATTCGTTTTGTTAATAAAAGTTCTATGTTTTATATATAGGCTAAAGTGAGTTTGACGTTGGATTTTGTTGTTGCATTCAAGCAATTGACACAGAATTGCTGCTAATTCGATTGCTCACAGCGCTTTTAAGCTATTTAAA